AGGGTGGCCCCCAGCAGCAGGCAGCTGCGGTACAGGCAGGCCGCCCAGAGGTCCAGCACCGAGTCGAAGATGTTGAAGTGGCGGATGTCCTCCAGCAGGCTGCGGTCCAGGTGGCTGAAGATGTAGATGGCCGTGGTCATGCCGACGTCCGTGGTCATGAAGGCCAGGGTCACCACCACTGCCTTCCACAGCTGCATCCTGCTGGCTGGCGGGGCAGGGGGGGCCGGCACCGGGGGAGGGGAGCAGGCTCTAGCTCATGGGGGGCAAAGCCATTGTCTGTGGGGTGAGGCCAGACCTGTTGGGGCAAAAGGGCGAGGGGTTCGGGTTTGCTGCCTCCTGGCTGTGTGACCTTGAGCAAGTCACTTGGCCTCTCTGAGCCTCAGCTTCCTCATCTGTAAAATGACAATGACGAGAGAAGGGTGCTGTGAAGATTCCGTTCATCCAAGGACTAGTTACTGAGCGTACCCTGTGGGCCAGACTCTGTTCTTTGTGTTGGGGATTTAACAATGAACAAAAATAACAAAGACCCCTGCGCTTGTAGCGATGACACATTCATGCTAGATACGGAGTAAGTAGATGATTTAGTATGTTAGGGATAGGGCTGGGGGGCGGGGAGGAAGTGGGGTAGAGGATGGAGGGCCATGGGGCTGAGGGGTGCCAGGGAGGACTGAGCTGTGAAGGTAATACTTGAGCAAGATTGAAAGAGGTGAGGGAGTCCACCACGTGGATATCTGGGAAAAGCATTTTGGGCGGGTGGAACAGACAGGGTCGGAGGCCTGAGGTCGGTCTGTGCGGATGTGCTTGAGGGAGGCGAGGAGGCCCCACGAGGTCAGAGAGGTGAGGGGCCAGGGGTCTGGAGGACTTTGCAGATGAAGCTGAGATAAGCAGAGAGTACATACAGTAAATGGCTGCTGTTTGACTACAACTATCATTGCTGTTAATGTCTCTGAACCTGTTTCCTCATTTGTAAAACGTTAGCATGGACATCTGAGCACAGTGCCTGGAACATGATAACCACTGCTGGTTGTTACCACCGTATACAGTGGGTGCTTAATAAGTGTTTGTTCACGTCTCTCCTCCCCAAATAAACTTTTATCTTCTTAGACCAAGAGGGGGTGGCTGTAGGCCCTAGTGCAGGGGTGGGCAAACTTTTTGACTCGAGGGCCACAATGGGTTCTTAAACTGGACCGGAGGGCCGGAACAAAAGCATGGATGGAGTGTTTGTGTGAACTAATATAAATTCAAAGTAAACATCATTACATAAAAGGGTACGGTCTTTTTTTTTTTTTTTTAGTTTTATTCATTTCAAACGGGCCGAATCCGGCCCGCGGGCCGTAGTTTGCCCACGGCTGCCCTAGAGCAACCCAGGGACTTTGACATCTGCCCGGAAGGTTCCAGAATCTTGGCCCTCGCCCCCAGCCCTAGGCTCTTCTGGTTTTCTAGAGCTTGATGTCTGCTTTGTCTAGAGCACCTCCAACAGTGAGCCCTACCAGACTCAGCCAGGGCCTGGGAGACCCCGGAGCTGCAGGGACCCTGTGGGACAGGGGCCTGGTGGTGTGAGTGTGGGAGTGGGGCTGGGCTGGGCAGTGCCTCTGAATGCTGCCTCTTGACTTGGGTCTGTCCCTCTCTTGGGTTTTTATGATCCCATCTGCAAAATGGGGTGATTAAGGGGTGAGGCACGGGGCAACAGGAGGGGTGACCAGAGTGACAGAAACACCAGCCCGGTGTTTCCACATCCCCACTTACAGTTGGGTAAACTGAGGCACAGAACGGCAAAAGCATATGCCCCGTATCGCTCTGCTGACAGAGGCCCAAGCCAGGACCTGAGCCTGTGCGTGAGGGTCCCAGCAGCTGACTGGACCCCTGTGCTCAGTCACCGCGAGCACGGGCGTGGAGCCCAGCCAGCGGCTCCCATGAGCCCGGCCCCCTGTGTCACCCTGCGCTTTACATGCGTCCGCTTATTTAATCCTCCCAACGACTTTGCGAGATGTGGGCTGACATCACCCCCATGAGCAGGTGGAGAAACAGGCCCAGGGAAGTTACTAACTTGGCGGAGTTCACACAGCTGGGGAGCAGCAGAGCTGGGATTTGAACCCAGACCTGTCTGGCTCCCAACGTGGGCTCCAAACCGCTAAGCTAGAACGCTCGTCGATATAGCAAGTGCTTGCAGGGAGTGCTCCTCCAAGGCAAAGAGAGTCTACGTGAGCGGGGGTTCTGCCAAGCGGAGCCGGTGACAATAATGACAACCACGATGACGGCAACGGTAACGGTAACGACGGACGCACTCGCCGGCGTGAGCGTGTGCCTGGCACTGTTCTAAGTGAAGCACGCGCATTAATGCTCACGAGAATCCTCAGAGGTCGGTCCTATTATCCCATTTCATAGAAAACTGAGACACAGAGAGGTTAAGCGACCTGCCTCAGGTCACACAGCTAAGAAGTGGCAGAGCTGGATGCGAACCCAGGCTGTAGACGTCCAAAGTCTGTGCCCTCAACTCCAAAGCCCTAATCCTTCAAAACACCCTCTCCCAGTGACACTCAGGAGGGGTCTGGGATGCAGAGAGGACCCAGAGGCGTGCTGGTCCCCAAGCCTGGGCCCTGCCTACACACCAGAACACCAGCCAGACTCAAGTCTGTCCCGGGGAAGGCGGTTGCCTTGTCAGCAGCTGCCCCTCCCAAGGAAGCCAGGGCAGAGCGGGATCAAAGGTGTGGGGGCAGGGGAGACACCCCTGCCAGGCCCTTGCTCCGCCCCCGGCCCTAGCCGCCAGTTCAGCTCCTGCCTGCTGCAATGCAGAGGCCACGAAGCCGATGAGTGGGTGAGCGTGAGTCGGAGCCCAGGGAGGGGTGCTGTTGGCCTGGTGCGCACGGCAGGCCTCCTAGCCAAGCCATTGCTGGCCGCCCGGGCCCTGCAGCCGCGTTGCTGCTGCTCCCCTCCTGGTGGCACAGGAGTCCCTCAGCCCCCAGAAAGATTCTGGGGTTCAGAAGTGGGACCGGAGGAGATCTGCCAGAGACCAGCCCGTGGGCTTGCTAGCTCTTCCTGGTGCCCCCCCCCCTCCGCCCCCTCAGTCACTGGGGAACTTCCTTCCTGACACCTCTCTGCCTCGGGTAATGTCAACCCCATTGGACAGCCACTGGGGAGGCCCGGTTGTTTACACCGGAACAAACAACACTTTGCATTCCAGCATCACAGACTATCTGAACCGTGTTTGACAGAGGGGGAGACTGAGGTCCAGACAGGGAGGCAGCGAGGCTTGTCTAGGGTCACCCAGCAAGCGGGAGGCGGAGCAGCGACAGCACCGTGGTCCCCGGTTCCCCAGTGCCCGGTCCTCCTAGTCCCGGCTCAGATGGGGCCGGATCCAAGTCGGGCCGGGTTACAGCCCTCGTTCCGGACAGGTTACTCTGCTATTTTTCAAGCTACGGAGCAGCAGGGTGGAGGGGACCAGACCACCAGCCGTGAGGTGACTGTGAGGAGGGGAGGATGAGGGCCACAGGACCGCCTGGAGGCATGTCCCTCCTCCTGCTGCCTGAGCTGGAGGACTCGGCCAGGGGAGGCTGGAGGGCAAATCGTGCGTGTGGCCCGAGGGACAAGCACACGGCAGTGGCCAGAGGCCAGAACAGACACCGCCCAGGGCCTGACCTGGCCCAGGAAGACGGGGGCAACTGGCCTCGACCCCAAATATTGGATTAGCCAGGGACCCTGCCCCACGGGGGTTCTGCCAGTCAAAGGCTTTTCTTCCCAGGAGAAGAAATGGAGGTCAGGGCACCTCCAGCTGTCAGCACAGCACAAAAGGGAAGTCTGGAACAGCCAGCCAGGAGATAATTACTAATAATAATAATTACACTCACAACAGCTGCCCTTTATGGGGCGCTACTAAGTGCTGAGTGCCTGGCACCTTGCATCTCAGTTAATCCTCACCACCCCCCCAGGGCGGGCAGGCGGGCGAGCCGCCAGTCCTCACAGTTATCATCCCATTTTACAGATGGGCACAGAGGCCTGCAGAAGTTAAGTGACAGGCAGAGAGCAGGCAAAGGCAGGACTGAAACTCAACACTTCCCTCTTGGGCGGGGTGGGGGGGGGGAGGGCCAGGTTCATCCCTAACCTGGTGAACTTCTCACCCCAGTGGCCACACACTACCCAGTGCTGGGAAGGGGACCCTGGCTGAGCGAGGCCAGGTCTGTGGGATGGGGTCACCGTGGGGTCACCGTGGGGTCTCCGGACGCATGGCCGGGACGGACGGAGCTGGTCCACCATCCTGGTTCCATCCTGGCTCCCAGCATCGCTGAGCCCCCACCTCCCATGCTCCCGCTCTCTCGTGAGGCACACAGGAGCTGCCATGGCCCTCCTACAACCCTCCTCTTGCCACCTGGCATTGGTCCCACCTGAAGAGGGGATGGACGCCAGCCTATCTCCAGGGGGTGGGGCAGTGGGCAGAGGGCAGGGAATCCTGTCGGACCAGCTTAAAGATCGGGCCTGGGAGGGGGCACCCTGTTCTAACAGAGGCCCAGGAATAGGGCGGGGGGCGGGGGGGACTACAGGCCTAACTGCCAGGGTGAATGCATGAGGCCATCGGCCAGCTGGGGAGACGGAGGGAAGAGGTTTGCTAAGGTGGGCAGACTCAGGAGACCCCCAGGCGCTTAGGATGTGTGGGCAGGCCCCGCTGTGGGGGGGGGGGGGTGGGGAGCCCTCAGAAGACAGGTCAGCCTCATCCTGGGGGGAGGACAGACATCCCAGGATCCTTCCCAAAGACATTCCCACCATTTTCCAAGAGGCGGCGGCGCCCGAGGGGTTAAAAAAAATGCAACATTTACCCTGCGGGCGTGGAAGGGATGCTGCAGGCGTGGGGGGCTTGG